ATTTCCCCACACATTTAAAAAAAAGTGCTATAATCAAATGCTTCCATGAACGTGTGAAGCTGACGGTAGGAAATAACTCAGTAATATCAGTTCTTGTGAAGTAAGTCCCTGAATCTCGTAGAATGGGGTGGAAGTCGTGTAACACACGAAACGTTACGTGTGTTACATCAAAAGTTACATGTGTTACATTCATATAAAACGTGAAAATCTTCAAAAGTAATGATAGAAATAGGCAAAGAAAAGCAAATTGCCATACTGAAACATACCACAATGGAACAAATTGATGTTTGAAGCTGAAATTTTAACTGACCAGGGGACAAAATGGGTTTTGGTGTAGTGATCTCCTTTATGACATTTCATGATTCAATAGCTCAGTAAATTTCATCTCTCATTCCAAGCCACTTCCATTTTCCTGTAAAATGTTACATGACATTCACCATAACCCTCTTGTCCCCTTTCCTGTCACTTCTCCGTGGTAGTTTTTCTCATCACATCTCACAAGCACCCAATCCCCAATACTGACCACACAGTCATCACTTTGAGATGGATCACTTGCCCTCTAAGGAGTACACATTGTACTGGACATCTTATTTGTCGTGTGAATGCATGGTAACTTCTCTGCAAGGTTCCCAAATCATTCAGTACACTTTCTTGACTCCAGAAACTTCTATATTTCTATATTTTGCCAGGGGTCCTCGTAGTGTCAATCTCATTTTGTGAGAAGTATTTGGCATGAGCTGCAGATCTACATTTCCATCATGAATGTCTTCTTCATTTCTGCACTGATATGTAACACCACCACTAAAAGTTGACATTTTCTTTGATGGTGATCCAAGGAAAGAAAAAAAGGGTGCTTTATTCACAGCCTTTGACAAAAAGCCTGCTTGTTCTTGTATCCTTCTCTGACTAGTGGTGCAGCTTCAGCGTGGCTGGTGTTGGCGCTGTGTTCCTTCTTCTTCAGCCGATGCTTTGTAACCATTCAAGATATACTTTCTGTATTCCTTCCTGTCAGATTCTATCATTCCAACATGTTTTTTTTTTATTATTCTCTCCTCTCTTCTACTTTCTTTGGCTGTGTAAGATGAGTCACCTGTTGTGTCATCTTTGCACGCTGCTTTTGGGTGGACGAATAGCTGAGGAACGAAATGAAAACAAAAGTTAAATTTGACGGGGAATAAGGCGAAATGTCTTAACTGTCTCTTTAAATAGGTGAATTTTACTTTCAAACTGCATTTAATCTTGTTGTTTTGGCATGATTTTGAAATCCACCAGTGTAGTACAGTATGCCCAATGTTCTGAGGTACTTACAGAAATATTTGTTCAATTGTTTTGTTTGTTTTCCCGAACTATACACCAGTATTGGCAAGAGGTCGCTAATAAATATTTTAAATTTAGTCTTAAATGAGATGATCTTTGAATTCCAATGCACAAGTTAATCAACTTTG